ACAGCATCACATCCTCCATCCCTGGGGCAGGTGTCCTGAGATGAGCCTTCCCCATCCTCTATACAGGTACCTTGCATCTGCATGGGGAGGGGTGTGGGAGAGTTCCTCTATAACAACTACTGCATTATAATTGCTGGTTTCCTTGTCTGTTTCCGCCACCAGATCAGCCCCGTTATTCTCACTGCCTGGCACACAAGAGAAAATGCTTGACTGAATTTTTAAAAATAAACTGTGAAAACTCCACAGCCATCTGCTGAACTGTGGCTAAGACAGCCTCAACCAGAACACGCCCTCTCCCAGCCCAGGTGAGGGGAGGAAGGCGGAGGCCGGGAGGTCAGGAACTGCAGAAACAAGTAAGGAGGGAGGTGGGTGTCCTGCGATGGGAGCACCCACTCTACAAAGGGAGACCAGCTCCTTACCTTACATGGCTGTGAGGGATTAGACTACATTTCTTATTCTGCTCATTAAATGAAAAGCAGCTGAATAGATGTCAGCCACTAATACTCAAGATGATGGAGAAACCAGTAGCCTATCCAACACCGGAGGACACCAGGTCCACATGAGAAACATGGCTGGACCACAAGGCTGCTGCCCAGCCAGGCCTTTCTGAAGCTTCCATTTTCAAAAGAAGATTTTCCCACAGTGGGGCTTATCCTCCTCTGTCTGCCTAAACATTACCATATTAAAACGTGGCTAACATTAAAGTAAGTGAGCTGGCACACTCTGCATCCATGGCGACCGCACGGGACTGCCAGAGGCGCAGTGCAGGGAAGGACAGCGGCAGGAGACACATTCCTCACAGACCACCCGCAGATGGATGGGTGAGATGAGTGTGTACAAAGCCTGTCAGACAACACGCTCCTCTCCTTTCCCTGGGCCTGCTCCTCCTCACACCACAGCCCAAGGCCTGAGGCCCTACCCAGGCTCCCTCCGGCCCATGCGTCTCCTGGGTCGGTGTTCTAAGGGGCACACGGGGGTGGGGAGGGCAGGGATTGCACCCCCAGGCACAGCTTTGCTCTCAGCTCATCTGTGGTCAGACTCTCTCGGGGCCCAGCCCCAGGGACTTGGGTATCTCAAGGCAAATTTCTGTGGCTTTTTCAAAAAAGACCTTGCATCTACATGGGGAGGGGCTGCGGGAGAGTACCTGTAAGAACCATTTCACATTTAACACACACCCCAAAACCACGAGCGCCCCAGAGCATGAAGGCAGATCCTGCCAGGCACACAGCCCAGGAGAGAGGGCCTGGAGGACGGGGTGCTGAGCACGGTGTCCACGGCTACATCCTGTTCCGGGGAGAGCCCCCCCGTCAATCATCAGTGCAATCTATTTTCCGCATCTCGTTCCCACCCTTCTCTGCACTTCTCCCTGGTGCTGTTAGCACCTTCCAGTCGCACTGACATCATCCATTATTCCAAAGCCCAGCTCCCTCCGCTCCTGGGATCAGCAGACGGCTTCTCACCAGCAACACGAGGCCAGCTCGCCACCCTCCTGCCCCCCTCTCCCTCACACCATTTCCAGTGTCTGTTTCTCGAGCCTCTCCCTTCTAAGGCTGTCACAGCCTGGAAATGGGTTTAAGGTGAAGGCAGGCGAGGAGGGGGAAGGAGAGAGTCATTCTTGCCACCCTACTGCCCTCTCCTGGAATCCAGAGCAAGTGACAGTCAACAACGAGCCAGGGCAGACCTGAAGGAGGGCGGCCTGAGACACCCTAGCGTGAAGAGGTGGCACCTCGGAGAGCTATGGTAGATTCTAGAAACTTGGACAACAGCTGTTTTCAGAGGGCGTGGTCCACGCAGAGGCAGCTTTGTCAACTTCTTCAACGCGCCCTTTCCCCACTCATCCCCACCACTGCCCTGCCCACCAGGAAACGCCTCGGTCCTGCCTGCCTGCTGTTAGAGCACAGGAATCCAACACTCCCCATGGCAAACATGACCATATCTACTGAGACACTGGAGACAAGGGTGGAAAGTGTTCAACACCTCCCACTCCAGACACTGCCCCCACCACACGGCTGCCTGTTCATATTAAAGAGGTTAGACGGAATACGATTAAAAGCGTCCACTCACTCAAAACAGCGTATCATCATCAGAAGGAAAGCTCTTGGAAATCCAGGACGTGTCAAAGAAAATCCAACACCCCCCCCTTTTTTAACACTTGTAAAGTAAAAATGATAAAGCGAAACTTAACTAGCTCAAAGTCAAAGTTCATGACGATGGACTCACTTTGGGATCTTCAATCCACCTGCTGACAGCAGAGACCAAGCGTCCCCTCTCCCAGGCCATGGGACAGCCACAGGAAGAAAGCACAGCACAGCCTGCCAGGACCCCCTGCCCCACGTAGCCCGCTCATTCCCTCACCTCTCCATTCCTTCCGTTGTTCAGCAAAACCTGCCCGTGCCCTTCCTGTGGTCCAGGCAGGGGGCAGGCCCTGACACACAGACGAGCGTAGGGTGGACTCTCCACTCTCAATCTGCTCCGTCTCGTGGAGACCATCCTTTCTCCCAAAGCCACCCCCTTCCGACTCACATCCTCCTCCCGGGCTCAGACCCTGAGCTGCTGATTCCACCGTCATTACAAGGTCTTGATGGTCAACAAGAGGAACAAAGTTGTCATTTGGGGAAGCAAACAGACTGAAGGCTTGGGATTTAATGCAAGCAGACCAGGCCCCATTTGGAAGGAAGAGTTTCAACACAGACACAGATCAGGTTGATGAAAAAAACGAGACACTCAGAGAAAATGTCACATTTGGAAGAAAGTGCCAAAGTCACAATCCAAACGCATCTGATTATGCAGAGCTAACAACATGGACCGTTCTAGAGCAGCGGTCGCCAACTGGTGGTCCGCAGACCACTGGTGGTCCATGAGGTCCGAAAGGTTGGCGACCACTGTTCTAGAGAAAGCCTAACTGTAAGAGTGCCTGCTATGGCTCAAGCAGGATCACCTGTAAAGACCCACCCGTGACTCAGGGCCTGTCAGCCAACACCGCAACCTCCACCGGCCCGAAGCATCAGCCCTGGCTCTGAGGGCGGCCGAGGACCAAGACGTAAGAGTCAGAAATAACAGGGCCGTGGTAAGGGAGAAGGACATAATATTAAGAGGTCGTAAGAAAACAAATTTAAATCTGCGGCACAAGCACTGTTGTTTAGCTGTCAGTTTTGTGGTCATTCTAACGAAATGCGATGACCTGTTTCATTTTAAAGCGTTTAAAAAATTTAGAAGAATTTGGCATGTTAGACTTGGGGAAGCGTAACTAAGCTTGCAATCAGTAACTAAATGTTTGGGGAAATCTGAGTGGCTGACCTCATGATTTACTAGTTGTGTGAATACTTTGGGAATATATTGAGAGAAATGCTAATTGTTAAAAATGAATGCACACCAAAATGCATAGAGTATCTTGTTCCTTTTCAAGTACAAAAGTGCATTGGAATTTTGGGGTATTACAACAATATGGTAAGTTTGGGGTTTTGTTTGTTTGTTTTTATAAGGAACATCCTGGTGGCAGTGAAGGCCAGACCAGGGAGAGAGATGAGAGCAATAGGACTGTTGGGGGCGGGATTTCCAGAAACTATTCCCAACCATATTCTGCATTTCCCAGGCCTTGTGCTCAAGATGTTTGCCTGTCTAACATATCCTCACATCCTCCCCGTTCCAACACTCACCCACTTCTGAAGACCCAGGCCAACTGTCCTCTCTTCCACCAAGTTCTCCCGACCTCTAGACCAGTAATTCCTTCCCTCAGGACTCCTGCAAGCCTGTGCCAAGTTCATGTACATGCTGCCCTGCTCAGAGCTTCCTACATCCTCATTTCCTCACCACTGACTGATCACTTACTGAACGCCAAGAACCTAATCCTTTCTCTCTCTCCACTGCAAACTCCTTGAGGCCAGCCCGACCCAGACCTTAGTAACACCTGTATCTCCACAGGGCCTCGCACAGTGGCCTGTTACCCAGCCAGCATCCACCAGTGTGCGGAAGCTGGGTGAGGTCACACCTGTTCATAGGGGCCTGCTACCCAGTCAGCATCCACCAGTGTGCAGAAGTTGGGTGAGGTCACACCTGTGCACAGTGGCCTGTAACACCAGCCAGCATGCCACCAGTGTGCAGAAGCTGGGTGAGGTCACACCTGTGCACAGTGGCCTGTAACACCAGCCAGCATGCCACCAGTGTGCGGAAGCTGGGTGATGTCACACCTGTGCACAATGGCACATACAGACCAGCATCCCACCAGTGTGCAGAAGCTGGGTGAGTCACACCTGTTTGAAACCTCTGATGGCTGCCAACGCCTGCCATTCAATCCAAACTTCGGAGCTGGCACACGGTCCTCCGCAGTCCAGCCCAGCCCACCCACAGCGCTGTCTCAGTCCTCTCCCACATACGTCCTGTATCCTCTCTTACTCAAACGCACCCCACACCCCTGCCCCTGCTGTGCAGTGCCCTGCACCTGGACTTCTCCCACCACTCACCCTGCTTGTCTAGCCCTGCTTATTGTTCTCGACTCACCTCAGAGGTCAGTTTCTCAGTAGCTCTCCTGGTCCATCCAAATGGATGAGACTGCCACGCTCCCTCCCAGGCCTCCGTTACTTCCTGGCGGTCTCACTGCATTCTACTCTGCACTCCGGCCCTTTAGGTCTCTCTTTTATGAGACTATAAGCTCTTGGAGGGCAGGAATCACATCTAATTTAGGCATTTTATGACCTACACACCTAGCAAAGTACCTTATTTTGTAGAAACGTGCAATAAATGGTGGTTATTTGGTAAATGAATAAATAGATGAATTCCTTTCCCCTCTTGTGCTTCCCCAAGCCCCAGAAATCCTATCTGGACAGGAGGGGGACAAACGGTTCTCTTTCCTAATACACACTCCACGGGAGAAAGGCGCGCGCCGCGAGGAGGGACACGCCAGGCTAAACCACAGCTGCCGCGGGGGCCTTAGGACCTTACCTCATACTCGAAGTTGCCCCCCAGGACCCCAATGTCCAGGTGCAGGTTCTTAAGAAGCTCACTTGAGCTGCGGACACTCTGAAACAAAAACGATTATGAGTGGTTGGCTGGAGGAAACTGGACAGCTCAAGTGAGGGTCGGGGCTCTCTGTGGGTTACATGTTCTCACTCAGACCTAAGAAGTACACAGACCAGGCCAGGAGGGAAGCTGTGGGCCGCAACATCATTTGTACTTATTTTCAAAGTCATGCAGAGGTTAGCAAAAGGTGATGATCACCCAAGTGTTCGTCAACAGATGAATGGATACACAAAATGGAGTCTATTCCTACAAGGAGGATAATTCAGCCATAAAGAGGAACGAAGTTCTAACACATGCTTCAGTGTGGAGGAACCGTAGGAGCACTATGCCACACAAAAGAAGCCATCCATTAAAGGACAACGCTGTATGATTACACTTACAGGAAACGTACAGAATAGGCAAAGTCAGGGACAGGAAGGAGATGAGAGGCTGCCAGGGGCCGGGAGAGGCAAGGATGGGGAGTTATCGCTCAGGGCACAGAGTGTCTGTTTGGGATTATGGACAAGGTCTGGAAATGGACAGTGGTGACAACTGCACAACACTGTAAAAGTAATTAAGGCCGTGCTCGCTTCGGCAGCACATATACTAAAATTGGAACGATACAGAGAAGATTAGCATGGCCCCTGCGCAAGGATGACACACAAATTCGTGAAGCGTTCCATATTTTTCACTCATTTATGGATAATTAAGACCATTATACACTGATGAACAAAAATAGATACAGAAGCAGAGCAACATCGAACAGACTGTCAAACTACAGCGGGAAGGCTAGGGAGGGTTGGGGGTGGGTAAGAGATCAACCGAAGGACTTGAATGCATGCATACGAGCATAACCAATGGACACAAGACACTGGGGGGCATGGGAGGCTAGGGGAGGGTCAAGGGGAGAAAAAAAAAGGAGACATATATAATACTCTTTATAATACTTTAAGCAATAAAACAATTTTTAAAAAAGTAATTAAGGCCACCTAATTGTATACTTAAATTAGTTAAAATGGTAACTTTCATGTTATATATATTTTACCACAACAAAAACTTTTCCAAAAAAAAAAAAAAAAAGAACCAAGGGCCCGTCCTCGGGCCAGGAGGAGAATGCGTCATTACCTGGTTATCACTCTCCGCCTCCTCCTCGCTGGTCTCCTCCCCTAAAGCCAAGAGGCCGAGAGCATTCTTGTCCTCATGGATGGAGCCCAAGAGACCTTGCATATGAGCAGAAGTCCTGAGACCCTGCAAAGGCTCCAAAATAGAGAAAGAAAGTCAAGGGGCTCACGAGGAAGACCTTCAGGTGACCTTCAGAATGCTCTCCCCGCTCTTTCGGTTTACATTTCTTCCATGGGAGCCGGCCACATCCACAAAGCTGACCCTGGTACCTGCGGTGCACACTGACCCCTCCTTCCCGGCGGCCACAGCCCTGGCTGCAGGACTGCAGACACTAGGGCGTGGGGCCGTGCCAGGGAGAGCCCACTTTCAGCAGCACACAGGTGTGACGCGCCTTCCCAACTGGACTATGAGCTTTGAGGACTCGGCCCCTGCCCTCTGTTTCTCATCTGTGGCCACATAATTCCTAGCATGGTACAAGGAGGCCCACAGTCACTCAATACACTTAACATATGAAAAGCACTTACCAGCGTGAGTTCTCCAGGCTGATGAGACTCCACGGAGCTCCCCAAGCTCACACTGTGAGAGGCACGAAGAGCAGAGAGCGGAGCATCCACGAGGCCTCGTAAGGGAGCCAGGCCCCCAAGGGGAACGTGGACTGGGGCTAGTGAGGAGCCCAGGGCCTGGTCAACAGAAAACATCTTGTTATAAACCTAAGAAGCCAGGTGGCTCTGCGAGGTGCAGACAGATACAAAAATGGAACATCTACATCCTGCCACTCAAATTCAAACCACCTCCATCCAGGGGCTGCTCATGAAACACAGCCTCCAGAATCACCGCCCTACCAGCCTGAGAAACCACAGCTGGTGCCCCGACCGCATGCCCCTGCCACTGGCGGAGGCTGCAGGGCTGTGTCCTTCCAGGAGCCACAGGAAGGGCAGGGAGGGGAGCAGAGCCGGGAGCTCATCTACCAGGATGAGAAGTCTCTACAGATCAAGTGTAAACTGACGAATGGGGAAAAGGCAGTGCAAGCACATTGCTTACACATATGAAGTCAACACAGAAGCGAGCAGGTGCTCGGCGAGGGGCACCCCGAGAACTGCTGTCTTCTGTCAGATGCCTTTGGTGCTATCTGACTGTGTAATAGGGGCATGTCTGCCCTTAAATATTAACTCCGAACAATAAACGTGAGCAACAGAAGAGGGGCTCCCTTGCCCCGCTGCACTGAGGAGGAAAGCGGCTGATGGAGGCCTTCCAGAAGCCTGCTCCTCCCTGCTCTCCGACAGCTCCACGCCAGCAAGGGCGGGAGAGCCAGGCCAGCACCCAGAGCCTGAGACCTGGGCTACCCCCACACTCCTGGTCCTCAGTTTACCCCTCGGAAAGACAGAGATGTGTGTCCTATCACTGCAAGTCTGTGGAGAAGTTCAAATGAGGTCATGAATGCGAAGAGCATAGGCAGGTGGTCCAGGGCGACCCCACGCTATGGAATCAGTATTATTGTAGGGACTCACACCACACTAGTCTGGCCTTAGAAGCAGAGGCAAGGGTAGCATCTGGGAACAAATTTACAAAGAGCTCTCTAAAATCACTTCACAAACTTAAAATGTATAAAACAACCAAAAATCCATTTCTCTCCCACCCCACTGGGACTGGAGAGAGAAAGGGAACCGGAGAGGGTGAGAGTTAGAACACGCAGACGGCCCACTCCTCACCCACAGCCTGGGCCGAGCGGCCGACCCCAGGCGGGCTCTGCCTGCACAGCGCCCCCTCCTGCAGGGGAAGGGCATCGATGTCCACCTGACAGGTGACACGGGAGCCCCTCCCAGCGCTTTGCAGATTCCCAATCACCTGGCCCAGAGTGGGGTGTCCGTCAGGCGGGAAAAGAGGTGATGCTGGTAACACTGGCCAGCACTACCCAAGCACCAGGCACCGAGCTAGCGCCCTCCATGTCACATCTCCCTGACCTCTGGCCACTGCCTAAGGCCACCGTCTTCCCCACAGGAGCCAAAATAGACTGGTGAGGCCCAAAGTCACAGAGCCAGCAGGGGGGCAGAGATGGGCTGGAAGCCAGGGCTCTCCCTAAGCCAGCATTTTCCTTTGCCTCCTGGTTGGGGCAGAAGAGGGGCCCAGGCAAGCTTCTCGGAGGTGAAATGGGAGCGAACCAAACCCGTCCCCCCAACTCCCCCCTCCTAACCCGCCCATGTAGCAGCAAGCACAATACTTCCCACACTGCATTTATGGGAAATTACAGCCTCCTAACGTGGCTAATGTGCTAATGTGCTGGGGGCTTGAGGGAGGGAGACAGGCATGCTGAGGGCTTTGCTCTCCGGGCCTTTACCAAACCCGTGGTTAGCGGGGAAATTATACATCCCTGGCCCTAGCCGGTCATCTTCTAGAGATGGCCATTAACTCTGGCGATGGCTGCACGTGGTGCTGTCCCTCAGAGCAGATGCACTCGCTGCCATTGCGCTAACTAGAACCTACAGGCTGACCTCAGCCCAGTGGGTATCTATGGCGCACAGTGGTCACTAGGGCAGATGGAGAGTAGTGCACGCCAGCCATTAGGAGCCCGAGGGACACCAGGGAAAGCCATAGCGGGCAAGAGAACAGCCAGGGAGATTCAAATGGACCCCATGGTCTCTGATCCAACTTGACTTCTTCTAAGTGAAGAATATGGTGTGACTCGTTAAAGGGATAAAGGGTCAAAATGACAGGGAAAGCCCTCTCCCACTTTGGTCCATCCCAGTAGGGGAGGAAGTGAAGGCAAACAGGGCCTGCACAGCTTGGCGCGGGTTCACATGGTCGCTGGGAACCCTGGGAAGCCAGGAGCAGAAGCAGCTTCCTGGCTGGCAGAGCCTGGGCCTCCGCCCGTGACATGACCCTCAAGCTCTGTGTGATCCTGAGGAGGGACGGATCCAGAGCTGGGCAGGGTCTGATTAGGAGGACCTCTCTCTCCAATCAGATCCTGGGGAGGTACCTAACCGGCAGGAGTGCTACTGCTCACCCTCAAAACTCATCACCTCCCCAGCATGGGAGGCCTCAGGAAGCCCAGGTGCCTTCCACCCTCTCCTGCCGGTGATGGGGTGGAAGAGACGGGAAATCCCTGTCACCCCCCAGGTGGCCACCCTGAGCATGGAGGGACCAATCGTTACCAAGGGAGGGCACACGGCAGGTAAGAGACCTGCTGGCCGCACAACCTGCCCCGTCGCCGCGGCGCCGCGGCCCGGAGGCCACGCGGAGAAGCCTACCTGGTGGAGAAGCTGCATCTGGCCTGGCTCTACAGCGAGCCTTTCGTTGGTGCTCAGCTCGACTAGCGCCTGCCTGAGAGGGCTGCTGCTTGGCGGGAAACAGGCTTGCGGAGCGGCCTCCTGCCCAGCCGGGGCCAGGGCCAGGGCCCCCTCCTGAGGATGCTCCAGCTGCTCTGGTCCCCAAGCCAGAAACCTGGAGTCTCTCTCCAGGGCTCCAATGGCCTCGTGCTCCCCCACACTAGACAGCCTGGAAGACTCGGCTGCCATGCAGCAGACCACGCTGGCGAGGTCTTTGCACGGCCTTTCCTGCATGCTCTCGGGCAGCCCCAGGCCCTCCAGCCGCCGGGAGATCTTGGCCATCTGCAGGATGTGCTGGTAGAACCTCTGGTCCTCAGAATAGTCTTCGCTCTCTGACTGCTCCTCAGCAGAGCTCTGCAGGCGGGGCAACTGGGGCACCAGGAAGGGGCCGGAGGGCAGCCCTCTGGGTCCAGGGCCTGACTGACCCCCACCCCGCCCGGACCCCTGAGAGCTCTGCAGGTCCCACGGGAAGTTATTCACTTCGCCCATGACCTCAGAGCCAAGGGGAGAAGCCAGGCCACTGCCGCCGCTGCTCTCTAAGTCAGGCTCACACTCACTGGGCCTCCTGTCTTCTTCGGGGGGCTCTGGACACGCTAGGGGCTGTCTCCTCTCACTGGCACTCCCTGAAGGGGCACTCTGGGCTGGCTCTGATGCCGGAGTGTCAGGTGGTATTCGGAAGAGCCCCAGGCATGGATCTCCCGCTGAGGTCCCGAGATCCTCAGGGTCAGTGGGCGCTGCTTCCTTGCAGCTCCCGGGGCTGTCCTTGTCGACAAGCCTGGAGACCTGTCCCATCCACAGTCCTGGGGGCTCTCGCCTCCTCCTTCCCCAGCCCACACCCGCCCCTTCCCCAGAAACACCCTGCCAGCGCAGGCCTTCAGCAGGGCCACTGTCCAACAAGAGCAGCTGGCACTGCCTGCCGGGCAGCATCTGGTCCGAAGAACAAGGGGAGAGCGAGGGGTGCCTCTCAGGGGACGCGGAGGGAACGGGGCTCTGGCCTTTGTCCCCCGCAGGGCCAGTGCTGTGCTGCACCCCTGTCAGCTGTGGGCCCTTGCTGGTTTCAGAGAGGGTAGAGTGCACGGAGGCCTGGCTCCTGCTTTCTAACACCTCCTGCCCGTTCTGGAGGGGCCCGCTGTCCTCGGAGCCCAGAGCGCTGAGTTTGGTCCTCATTTCCAGCTCTTCTATCTCAGGGTCTGAAAACCCCAGGTAGATTTTCTCAGCCAGCTTCTGGGGTTTCTCCAGACCCTGCTGATCACGTAATTCTGTCCTGCACTGGGCTGGGGCCCTGCCTAAGATCTTCTCCACGTCGGCAAAGAGCTGGTGGGTTCGGGAAGCGTGGCCTCTGGAGAGTGGCTGCAGCTTGCTGGGCGGGGTGCCCAGGAGGGCCCAGGGGGTGTCCCCCAGCATGCATGGACTCTTCCCTCTCTGAAAGAAGCCCTCATTTCTAGCCTGCGTGTCCTGGTCTAGATCCAGATCAGCAAGCCCAGGTGGGAGAGAGGACGGGCCGCGGAGAGAGGAGGAGGAAGGCAGAAGTCCCTGCTCGGGCGGTGTGTCCTAGATGGATATATAAACATGCAGAGGACACTAAGACAGAGCACTCTGGGGTCACCCCTGCCACCTCAGCCCGTGGCAAGCCCTTAGCAGAGACCCACGTCCACGTAAAGTAAAACGAAGCGCAAAGAGGGAAGGGAGCTCAGAGCTCCCTGGGCTTTGTTTTCGGGCCCCGTTTCCTTTTCATAGAGAGGAGGCTAGACTAGGTCCATGGCTTACGAACCCTGCAGGCCGGTCCCACGTGGCACCCTGAGGCGCTACAGGGACGTGCGATGAGGAGGGGGCATCCCCAAGACCCACAGCCCGGGTGCCACCGCAGGCACCACGTCCTCTCTGCCGTGGACTCCGGAGGAACTGACCCGAGACAGCCTCCACCACTAACAAAGCCTGAAAATCGCCAGCCAGACCAGCCTAAGGTACCATCACGCTCTCAGCCCTGCGGCTGCTTAACTCTAGGAAACCCACCAACCTCCTCCAGGCCTGTCGGCATGAGCTAGGAAGGGAGAGGCGAAGGGAACCTGCTGGGAGCCGCGCCCTGAAGCCTCGTCTTCTACCGAAGGCAGAGCTGGTGCCGCCAAGAGAGGGCCTGGCAGTGAGAGTGCCGGGGCAGGAAGACATCCTAGAAGAGCCATCAACCTGCAGGCACTCACAGGCAACTCCACCCGGCAGGTCTCAGAACCGTGCGCAGTGACAGGAATGATACAGGGTCAGTTCGTGAGCAACCACCAATGCCAGACTGGCCTTGGGAAGGACGGCAGGTGGGAAGCCTTCCCGGGAGGAGGCGCTGGTGGGAATGAAGACTATAAACAAAAGGGCAAGTCAATGGACTTGACAAGGTTGGTAGGCCCAGTGTTCCTGCCCACCACCCACGCTCCCCGCAGCCTGCCGCCTGCCCACGCCTGAGTGAAGGGACGGAGGCAGCTTCCCTGCCCTGCCACAGCCACAGCCACGGCCACAGCCGCAGCCACGGCCATGGCCACAGCCGCTGGGAAAGCCCGGCCTCCTCAGAACAGCTCCCACTCAGCTTCTCTGCCTATAAAATGAGGCGATGATGCTACCTTCTAAAGGCAGACATACTGAAGGGACAAATAAAGCAAAAATGGAAAAAGCACCTTCAAATCTGAGCACAACAGCCACTGGAGACCACGGATATCCCACTGCAGTCACATTTCAGTTACTCGTCCCTAACCTAGGACCCTGGCAGCACAGCCCCCGGAAGTGGAGAAAGCCCTACAGCTTTTCTCAGGGACCTGGCAGGCACTGGTGCTCTGACAGCTCAATGCGGTTCATCTGACGTCCAGGATCCCACCACTGAGACACACACGGGCTCACCCAGGCCCCCTGGCCTCTGCCAGCTGCTCCCTGTGCCCCTCTCCAGGGGCAGATGGCATCACTTCTCTCAGTATTCCTGCAAACCACCCTCCTCAGCCGGGCACTCTGCCGCCAATCCTCCTCTGTAATATGTGCTTCCCAAGGGGGAAAAAGGAATTGTTTAAAAACAGTGAAAGAAAAAGTGCCAGAAGACTGGCACACTCCGGAGGATGTACCATCGAGAAATGACTATCAATCGTTATTCTTCACCTCCCAGCTGCACACACCTAGCGGTTCCCCGTATCACCTCAGTGGCAGCCCTGGCCCCTCTGAGCTGGCGTCCACTGGCTCACCATGGCGCTTTTTGGGGTCTCTTTGTCCTTCTTGTCTTTCTTTTCCTTTTTCTTCTTCTTGTCTTTCTTCTTAACGGCCCCAGAAGATGACAGCTTCCCTCGTTCCTGGATCACCAAGTTCCGATAGTGCCCATCGCATGGATGGTCCCACGTGGACTGCCCATTGGCAAAGTTAAAATAGTAAATATCACCTGTGATGTCCTGGCTGGGGATGAGCAGAGGCCAGCAGTTAGTCCCTACTCAAGTCCAAAGCTATTTAGGGAAAAAAGTAGGAGAAAAATGATGAGGCAGAGGAGGAGGAATTGGGGGGAAGGGAAAGGAGAGAGCAGACAGAAGGAGAGAGGAAAACAGGAAAAGGTAACACAAGGCTGGAGGGTAGCATTTAGCTAAGAAGGAAGGAGTTAACTTAGATAGGAACTCAGGATGGGATGCCTACATGGAGCTGTAAAATCATTGGGGCTCCTGGGAATTCATGCTAGACTGGTGTAGGAATAAACTCGGTTTGAGATAGTTAAGTACAAATACTATGGTATACTGGCGGTAAAATCTAGGATAGACCTTGCTTAACATTTTTATAAGTGGTCAGAGGAAGAGAGATACATTGGGAAAGCTCTGGTTTTATAAAAGCCTCCAAACGCATAAGAGGTGACAGTCCAAGCTAGTGGGATCAGCAACAGAGGAAATAATGCAGAAGGTGGGTTTCAAGAATTTGAACTACACCATGGACAAGTCCAAAATGCTGCAGCCATTTACCCTGCCCACCGTTATCAATCACCCAGTCAGACAAGTAACAGGAAAAACAGCATTCACAACAGCAATATAAAAGATGTAATGTCCGGGGGTACATCCCAGTGCAAAGGCTTTTAAAGCTTTCCTGAAAAGCCCGGAAAAGGAGGAAAATGAGAGAGAGAGACTCCATGTTCCTGAATAAACAGATTCAAGTCTGTAAACAAGCCAATAATCCTCTAATCCATGTGATCCCAGTGGAACCCCTATCTGGCTCCTTATGAAACCTGACAACTCAATCTCTATTCAAATAAGATAGAAAATACACAGCAGTAAAGAGGGGAAACATCAGGGGTACTTAGTATCAGGGTTATGTATAAAAAGAAGCTATACAAATGGCCACATGGAAAGATGCTCAACATCACTCAGCATTAGAGAAGCGAAAGTTAAAACAACAATAAAATACCCCTCCACACCCATTAGCATGACTAGTATCAAAAAAGCAGAAAATAACAAGTATTGACAAGGATGCGGAGAAACTGAAACCCTTGTGCTCTGTTCGTGAGAAGGTAAATGGTGCAGCCACTGTGGAGAACAATATGGCAGGTCCTCAAAAATTGAAAATAGAGCTCGGCCAGCGTGGCTCAGTGGTTGAGCATCAACCTATGAACCATGAAGTCATGGTTCAATTCCCAGTCAGGGCACGTGCCCGGGTTGTGGGCTCGATCCCCGGTGTGGAGTGTGTAAGAGGCAGCTAGTCAATGATTCTCTCATTGTTGATGTTTCTCTCTCTCTTCCTCTCCCTTCCTCTCTGAAATCAATTAAAAAAAATTTTTTTAATTGAAAATAGAATTACTATATGACCCAACAATTCAACCTCTGGGTATATACCCAAAAGAATGGAATGCAGGATTCAAACAGACATTTGTATATAGGCCCTGGGAACTTACTTGGGTTTTAATGCCGATGTTCACAGCAGCATTACTCATAACAGCTGCAGGTGGAAACAACCCAAATATCCACTGACAAACAAATGGGTAAACAAGATGCTGTACACACACACAGAGGATATTATTCAGTCTTTAAAAGGAACTAAATTCTGAAGAATGCTCCCACATGGATGAGCCCTGCAGGATCTACGCTAAGTAAAATAAGCCAGTCACAAAAGGACACGCGTTGCATGAACCTACTTATGTGACGTACCTAGAATAGACAAGGTCATAGAGACAGAAAGTAGACCAGAGGTAACCAGGAGCTGGAGAGTTTCAGTTTAGGAAGATAAAAGTCCTGGAGATGGGTGGTGGTGATGGTCGCACAATACTGTGAATTACTTAATGACACCGACCTGTATATCCAAAAATGGTTAAAGCAATAAATTTTGCTATTTAAAAATATTCTGTAACTTACAACTGTAGGACCTCGAGTACAACTGCACAGAAGTGATGACAATGGACATTTCTGCCTTGTTCTTCAGTGCACAAGAAAGCATAAAGACAATTAACAGACAAGAAGCTAAGAGAAAATAAATAAATAAATAAAATACAAAAAGAAAAAAAATAATAATAAAGTAATAACAATAAAAAAGAAGCTAGGAGAAACAGTAGTATAAAATTAATGCCCCAGAGAATCAAAGACCTCCTCCTGCTTAACAAAAATAAAGAGATAAACTACACAATAGACAAAAAAGGCAAAGGATATAAACAAGCAAATCACAAAAGACAAACCTTGGCCAACTGACGGCCAACTCAACTCTATGAACAACTTGGGAAATACAAATTGAAACAATCAGATATAATTCCTTGCCTTCAGACTGACAATTTTTTGGATAGATAATTTTTTATAATATTTTCAAATGAACAATCATAAGTGCTATTGGTGGGATTAAAAAATAATTTAATTAATTTAATTATAATTAAACTAGAGGCCCGGTGCACAAAAATTTGTGCACTCGGGGAGGAGAGGGGGTCCCTCAGCCCGGCCTGTGCCCTCTCGCAGTCTGGGACCACTTGGGAGATAATGACCTGCTGGCTTAGGCCCACTTCCGGGTGGCAGAGGGCAGGCCCAATCCCTAGGTGCAGCCCCTGGTCAGGCTCAGAGCAGGGCCGATTGG